TAAAGAGAAGTGTAAACCAAATGCTGCAAGCAATGCATATTCCTTTTAAATTTTATAGGCTTGAATAACTTGATTTCCTTGCTGGATACTTCCACAGATGTTAGGGTTTTCCTGAACTGCATGTCTTCAAATCTTCAGGCTTTTGTCATTCAGGTACAAAATTAACTCATTATTTAAAAAAAGAAAAAACAATCATAAGAACGGCCCTACCGGGTCAGACCAAAGGTCCATCTAGCCCAGTATCCTGTCTTCCGACAGTGGCCAATGCCAGGTGCCCCGGAGGGAATGAACAGAACAGGTAATCACCAAGTGATCCATCCCTGTTGCCCATTCCCAGCTTCTGGCAAAATCACACCATTTATCATATGTTTGTCTTTCATGTTACAATCAAGTTAGTTGTTATCCTGCTTGTCAGTAGTTTGCAGCAGTGGTATTGCATACCAATACTCAGACTAGAGTATCAAGATTACATAAATTATGTACAAGAAGAAAGTAATTGTCAGACAAAAATTCCATCTTTGCATGCATCCTGTATAACCACACAGCTGGGAATGCAAGTATCTGGTCTAACTTCATATCCATGACACATTACCTTCCTTTATAACCTAAAACCTATAAGAAAAGGCAGATAAGACTGAGAACTGTGCTTCATGATTTAGGAGATGCTAAAATCTGAGCAGCTGGTAGAAAAGGGGCTTTTCCTACTGAAATAGCTGTGCCTATGGAAATAGATGTAACTATCTTAATACTGTGCATACTTCTTCCCCTGCCTCACCAGCCTTTCAATATTTCCTCCAATGGTAGATCAGAATTATAAGTAGCTGCAGTGGTGCTGGTAGTTTGGGCTAGATGGGATAATCATGTAAATTTAAATGGAGTTATTTACTTTTTTTTTCTCCTTGGAAGGAGCAGAGGAAGCTGTACTCCCTGTTAATTATTCCCTGTTAGTTCCTGTTGTGATTTTTTAAAAGTAATAATAGTACTTTGAACTTCTATAGCATCTTCCCTCAGAGGATCTCAGCCTGCTTGTACTGTTTTTATTTCTGTATACAAATTGCTTGTGAAGTCTTCAGTACTACATGTACATTCTTTATTTGACCTTATCATGAGTCAAGTCATTGTCTATTTACAGCCAAGCAAGAATAAAGAAGAGTTTAGAAAATTAGCAGCTAACTTCCAACTGAGATGGAACTTCCTCTTAACTGCAGTAAGCAAGGCAATGACACTGTGCTATACAGACAGTTTTGGTAAGTCAGAGCTCTTTTCATGCTCCATGCTGCAATGAACACGGGCCCAGATCTTTGTTCCCTTTGTGTCAGAAAAGTCAGTTCCAATCTCTCATTGGCATTGACTCCTAAACCTCCAGCAGGCCCTTACTTTCAGGACACTTCAAGGTCTGGTCTCAGTTGCCTTCAGGCATAAGGGCAAGATGAAGAAGAGAAGCACTGAGAGGTCTTTAACTATTCTCTTAACTTGCTATCCAGATCGGATATTTGGTTCAGGAGGGCAATTCTGCAATTCTTGTTTAATTAAAACTCCTTAGCCCATCCTCCTGGGGATTGCACCGACAACTACACTTCTACAAGTGGAAATATGCAGAGACCATCTCAAAGAAGAAAAAATGGTTACCTGCCTTATTCATAGATTTTGTTTAATGCCAGAAGGGACTACTGTGATCACCCAGTCTGACTATCTGCATAACACATCGCCACACGCTTCCCTGAATTAATTTCTGCTTCGAGTCGAATAGCTGTGATTGAACTAGAGTATATCTTTTAGAAAAACATCCAATCTTGATTTAGAAATTTCCAGTCATGGAGAATCCACCACAACACTTGGTAAATTGTTCCAGTGGTTAATTACACTCACTTAAAAATTTGCACCTTATTTCTAGTCTGAATTTGTGTAGCTTCAACTTCCAGTCATTGGATTTTGTTATACCTTTGCCTGCTAGATAGAAGAGCCCTCTGTTATCAGATTTCTGTTTCCCACATAGGTACCTCTGACCAGGGATCAGCAACCTTTGGCCTGCGCCGCTTCCCGCAGCCCCCATTGGCCTAGGATGGCAAACCATGGCCAGTGGGAGCCGCGATCGGCCAAATCTGCGGACACGGCGGGTAAACAAACCGGTCTGGCCTGCCAGGGTGCTTACCCTAGCGGGCCGCGGGCCAAAGGTTGCCGATCCCTGCTCTAGACTGTGATCTAATCATCTTTTAATCTTCTGTTTGTTAAGCTAAATAGATTGAGTCTCTCACAATAAGGCATGTTTTCCAATCCTTTAATCATTCTTGTGGCCCCTTGAAGTGGGGACACCAAAAGTGGACACTAATCCAGGAGCAGTTGCACCAGTGCCAAATACAGAGGTAATATAACATCCCTACTCCTCCTTGATATTCCCCTGTTTATACATACAAGGATCACATTAGCTCTTTTGGCCACAGCATTGCACTGGGAACTGAAGTTCAGCTGATTATCCACTATGACCCCCAAGTTTTTCAGAGTCATTGCTTCCCAGGATAACGTCCTCTGTCCTGTAAGTGAGGGCTACATTTTTTGTTCCTAGAGCATAATCCAATAAGAGCAGAGGCAGTTTTTCAATTAAAAATTAACAAGTTCCTAGGCATAGCACCTTGATTGAAGATCCTTCCTAGTTTATGCCCATGTAAAGTGTTCATTCCTTGTTAAGATTATTATTAATTGCTTGTTTAGTGCCAATAATGTGCTTGGTGTGGAGCAAGACACAGAAGAAGACTTGGTCTTTGCTGAGTGGGGTTTACAGTCCACTGAAATCAATGAAGGTCTTTCCATGGGCTTCAATGGGCTTTGGTGCAGGCTCCAAGTTAGGCTTTTCAGCTTCACTCATACAGTTATATTGATTGAGCCTCAAACTATATGCAGTCAGTAGGATTTTTTGTTTGGGGAGGGCTGGAATTATTAATCAGTGTGAGCAAGGCAACAGATGATGGGACATTGTTAAGCCTTGCAAAAGAAGGAAGATGGACAACCACACTGTCCCATATTGTTAAAATAAGGGGGATCCCCTTTAGTCCATGTTTAAAATCTGTACTTAGGGCATATTCTGCCTGCATGTTGGTGAGCAGGCACACATAGTTCAAGATTTCTTATTCGGTGAGTACTATGCTCCAAATCCTATTAATATAACGACACCATGTGGTTTACAAAGGAAGATGTACCTGGTTAGGTAGAGTATTTATATGAAACTCTAAAAGTGATGATGTTGCAAGTGATTTTTGTTGTTGTTTAAACCTAGGCTCCTGGCATTTGTTTAATTTGCTACTTTTGGAATATGTTATTCACATTCTCCAATCCCATATAGAGGAGGAAGGAGATGGAACTCTCTCAGACATGCAGCAAAACGATTCACCTACCCAGCTAGTTCATGAACCTGCTCACCTTTGGGACAATTTTTCTGCTGAGCAGTTTCGAGCCGGAGCCCCAGAGCCAACTCGGGTAACTCTGACACAGAGCCAGAGTGATGTTAATCTAAACAGCATTATTCTCAGGGTCCTGAGCTGTCTGGTAGACTCAGCCACAGGCAACAAGGTAAAAGTAACAATACATTTGTTTAACAATAAAATAGAATTAATTTTCAAAACCCAACTGTGTGCGGATGTGTATTGAACGTCTAAGAGTAATATAAATAATATTAGCAACAGAGGGTCCTGTGGCACCTTTGAGACTAACAGAAGTACTGGGAGCATAAGCTTTCGTGGGTAAGAACCTCACTTCTTCAGATGCAAGTCTTGCATCTGAAGAA